ATTTCAGAGATACACTCTGTCCATGGATCTTATAGGTCCAAGTAAAAAGGATATATTCTCAAAATGCATGCATACGCTAAAATAGGTCCCTGTTTGCATAAAACATGCAGTATGTTGGCAGATGCTATAACTGTATAAGCAGATAACGATGTAAGTACAAAAATTTGATTGCTTATGAAAGTTTCCATTTGGACATATTGCACCTGTATGTTTCTGAATACATCAGATACCTACATTTTGTTTTTTCCACAGTATTTTAAAAACTAATCAGTATTCTTATCATATTCTCTACATGGCCATATAACTATTATTAGAACATCAAAGTGGCATTACTTAATTTCACAGAGTAGTGAGAAGGGTGACCACTTTACTTGCATTCGTTTGTGCATATTTCCCAGAACTATTTAAATGTGTATTTTGGGATGTTTAGCCATTTCACTTGTTTTTGATTGTCTTAATAGAAATGAGATACTAGAGAAGTGAACATGCTCCCTAGAAAGCCTCTCTTTGTTTTATTTAATGATGTAAAACATCAGTTATGGTTGTTATACAGTATAATGATTTTTCCTTAGCAGGTGGGAAATGGCAGAGCCAGTGAGAAGAGACCAGCTGGGAGTGTAAAATAATGTAATGCAAATAAGTGGAACACCCCTCTTAAGCAAAATTAATCAATCTGGCTTTCAAGAACAAAAGACCTGGGCCGCTGCTTCAGTCTTCTGAAGTAATTCATAGGTTAGGTAGGGAAACTGAAGGAGACAACGATGCAAACAAAGCAGATATTTAAAGCAGTGGCACAAATGAATGCGTTATCATGCTGAGTATTTCTGAGTAGCAGGAAAAAATTAAGATGTATTTGTCAGAACTGTACTGTTGATGAAACTTATTGCATCTGGCTCTATAAATCCTGAGATCACTAAAACTGGACATTACAGATCTAGTTTCCCTCAAAATTATTCCGTGACAGTAATCTATGGACGACCTACCAAAAGTCATGAATAGTATAAAGCTCCTTTAACTGATTTGTAATCTATAGCTTTACTCACAAACAGCACCACACAAACACAGGTACATCACAAAAAGCACCAACACCCACACAATGCATCCTCTTTGCTTTGACAGCGTAATCAGAAATACTATCGTATCACTTAAATTCCTATTGCCTACACTTTAGAAATTAAACACAGTCAAGAAACGAATGTGCAAACATGACGTAGTAACTTGTGGTTTACACTTTGAAAGAGGCTTCTCAAGCTTCTGGTAACATGACCTTTTGTCACAGCACCATGGCAGAATCTGTTCAGGAATACACTTTTTCAGTCTATTAGGGCCTGATTTGGGAGCAGGAGGAGATGGCATCCAGCTGAGAACGTCTAGCAAAGGTTGCGTGATCGATTTCTCAAGGCAGTAAGGAGGGAACACAAAGGACCTTATTTTTTGATTACACTGAAAAGCATTGGCAGCTCTGATCAGGTTGCTTTCCTGTCAATGTCTTAAAAGCAACAAATAAAGGTTGCAACAGCACGTAAGTAACAGCATATATAGTACAAAAGAAAAAAAGCAGATAGACAGTTAAGAGGAGGAAAAGATGAAAAAACCCCTGCTCATTTAATGATTGGCATTTTCAGAAGAGCCCTGGGGTATATTTACACTGTGTTCAGAAGCTGTGACTACAGCAGGTCTAGTAGCCACCATAACCCTGCTAGGTCAGGTAAGAAAAGCCATGAAGCTCTAAGAATGAGCTCAAACTGCCGTGTCTGATGAAACAGATGAATAATTATGTTCCAAGACTGTACAAGATGTATCCCATGAGAGTGGATGTTTATGTTTCTGTTACTGATCTTAAACGTCAGTAAACAAAGTTTGCGTGCTGTCCTTACTGAAGTCAGTGCCGAACTCACATAACTTGCAGAGAGATGTTCGTGACCTAGATTTTGCAAACTGGGTGGTTGCATGGCTTTTCTCATTGTTGAATGGACTCGGGTAATTGACTCAGGTAACTGTTCTCTTTCTCACAGGATCAGTCTCAAAGCCAAACACATGGCTTCATGTATGGAGAAGGGCTGCAGAGACAGAAGATGGTTTTGCGGGTGCTGTTGAACACAACACGGAGCGGAGCAGAGTCTCCTCTAAATGTAAATCAGAAGGAATTAATTCTACAAAGAGATGCTGGGGGAAAACCACACTGAGTTCTTAATGTATATTTCCTGCCATTTATGAAGAATTATATTAAAAGATAAATGCAAACACGATCGTTTTAAGTCACGCATAATAATATGGAGTGATTTTATTTACACCTATTATGGTAAATTTTAAAATATATGTGGTATGTGTTACAATATCAGCATTCATTAGTTGGTTAGGATCTAAGTTACTGTATTGATTTATTGTGCTCTAGATATGTTGAGGTGTTGGCAAAGATTTTCTTCTTCAAGCTTCTCCTGAGAAATAACTAACTGGAAACAATTACGTATTGTGGCCCAGCGATAATTAAAAAGTAGGCACTGGGGACAAAATCTAAAGCTTGTGATTACTATGCTGATATGCGTAGATTCTGTTAAGGCTTAAGTTTGGAGTTGTTTGGGGTTTTTTGACTGTGTACTAATCAAAACACTAGGCCTTTTTGGTTTATGTTTGCATCTCTAAATAAAATGATTGGCAATAAATGTAGGATTGCAACAGCTTGAGTCCAGATTATGGTATAACCTATTTCTCTGTCTTACAGTAAGTTAGAACACAGTTACAGTAGCTATCTAAATGCTATGGCACAAATGTTGTTACTTACGTGTTTTAGCTGAGTGACATTACCCTACAATAAAAATTGAGACTGAAAAGGTATTGACCACAGGGAAAAAGTGGCTAGGCCAAGTTTTACCTTCCCTAAACATTTATTTAAAAGGTTCCAGTTATGAAATATAGTAGACACTTGCGTTACATGAAGCAACTAGAGAAGAATCCTAATGGTCTTGGGATCTTATCTTCACTACTGACAACTGACTTTGCTCTGATCTAACAGGAGCATTTAAATATGGCTGGGCAGAGCACGTGCACGTCTGCATTGGCTTTTTGATTTAGCCTCACACGTATACCTCCCTGTGAAATGCATCCTCCTACGTGTACGCATCTCGCTGCTCTGAGTAACAAAGTAAGTGACATTAATGGCTTTCTTAAAAGACCTTTCATCCCACAAATAATAAACACATAACAACGGTATATTGAATGTTAACATTTCCATTCAAAATGGAAAAAAATCCCTAAATTCTTGACAAACTGATACAGAACTGCATTGCTTTATTCACCAATGAAATATGGTTACTTCTATGATGAAGTAATTAATTAAAGCTGCACAGCGCAAGACAAAATAGCAGAAATCCTAATCTGCAGCTCATAATAATGCAAGCCATCTCATTAAAATAACAGTGGCAAGAGTAGGAATGGGATTACTATATTAAAATGCAGAAGGATTGCAAGACCTGGCTCCAACTTCTAGCCTGATCAAGGCCCACTGAAATTAAAGGGGAACTTTAATCCATTAGGCATTAAAAAAAAAGAAATTGTAATCTCCTCCAGCTGAGAACGCAGGAAGAGAGACTGCATTGTCTGGCAGTGCACGTAGGTCAGCTTTTTCACCCTAACTGCAATTTTTTACATACTGGTCTTCCCAATCTGTCTTTAAAGGTAACTGCATTACAGTATTCCCATATAAATAAAAATAAATAAATAGTAAATATATTTTAAATACAGATATTGATTTGATAGTTTTTTTAGTACAAATCTACATTAACATTTTCTTTAGTTTTCAAGTACCATGTCATATATATAATACATACAAAACATCATATAATTGCAACCTTAAGTGCTAGTGCAACTAGTGTTGAGCAACCCATTTATTTCTACAGCTATAAATCATTTGGGCGTATACATTATTTTGTTAATCAGGAAAAGAAGCAATTTTGAGTTTTGTTACCAGGTTTTTCTTAAGATCAGTATGCCATCCAAGGTTTGCATTCAGTCTGCAGGGTTTGTAGTGAACAATCCATCACGGAAAACAGATTTTCCATTCTCTGAAATATGTATGTTATTGTTCAGAAATGCTGCTATAAGTAATTAATTTTTAAAGGAAGCTTTTGTATCACTGAACAATACTTATCTAGCAATGCTTGTACCGTGAAAAAAGTGTCTGCCTGCTGTATCTTTGCTATAGAACTTTTTGAGCCGAGTCTTCTCCATGGCTCCACTCATCTTCCCTTGTGACAGGGAAAGTATTGACAAGAAGTGACACGGTTACAGTAAATCAGTAAGGAGACCAACTCCTCACCACAGACTGAGCTCTGAAAGGAAGGGTCAAATTCAGTTCTCATTTACACACATGAAACCCCACTAGCTGAAATGAACCAGTGAAACTGCAGGCTGAATATACAGCTATCTACAACTACCATTATATGCATATGAAGACAAAAGAGCTCCAAGATACAGGTATTTCTAATACATGTTACTAGAACTAGTAGATGTGGTTTAGGTAAAAAAATCCCAGATTTTGCCTTTGTGCAGTGTAATGACATGTCTACGACACCCTCCCCGCTAAGTGCATCGCTGCATGGACTTGTTTTTGCAAGTCTCTCTTAAAACCTACTGGATGCATCACTGTTTCTTCTTTGCATGTCCTTGTAATTCTAGCTTGCCTTTTTTTTTCTCCTGTGTAACCACCAAATTAAAAGTTTGATAATGCCCCTTTCTCTCTCACTTGAATAATTAGATTTTGCTTCTTATTACAGCTAAATATCTACCACATCAGATTCAACCACTTCCCCCATTTTTTTTTTCACTGACCCATTTTTTTTGACCACACACTTCCCTCCCAAAGCCCCAGTGTATTTTCTTTTTCACCTGACTCCCAGCTATGTTAAGGCTAGCATTAGTGGTACCACTGGCTTGTTTTGTAAATAGCCTCTCTTGACAAATAAGTGAAACCGCAGGTGCCCTCTCCCATTGCCACCAGGATGTGGCCATTCAGAATGTTACTCTCTAGACAAAGACACTGAAGAGAGGAAACTCAGCTTGGTTGGGTTGCAGCAAGTCAGTCAGGAAACACACAGTTCCCGAGAAGCCTTCATACAGACTATATACACTTTCTAATGCCCGGGAACCAGCCTTAAATTCTTCTGTAAATAAGAACTCTGCAAACCTAAGAAACAGGAAAAAAAAAAGTTTGTTATTATTTGGTGTCCCTGTATGTCTACTTACTTGTTGTTTGAAAGCATCATTTCAGTAACATTCAATGATTAAAATAAGTAGAATATTCATTATTAACCCTTATGTGGAAATTTTACACTCTCTGATTTCCACAACAAACTGAGGTCCGTGAGATCTAGAAAAGCCAAACCTTTGCGATCTGTAAACGTGTGATGCTTCTTTGAGAGCTATAAACTTTTTCTGATGTGTACGAGACATATTATTAAACAAATACTTTTTAATAAATGGTTGTTATTTCAGCAGGATGCAAGCAATGTTTCACATTGATGCAATAAATTCTGTAATGCTGAACTAACTACACAAATAAAATGTTCTCACTTCAAAGCAAATGGCTGAAAATAAGTCCCCCTAATTACTATGCCACTTCCCCTCATTCTTCTATGCTGTAAGGAAATCAGTTGCAAAAATTGCATACTACCTTTTTAAACAAAGCTCTTTTAAATTACAGAAACAAAATTAAAGACAATTGGAGCACTGTGACGGAATTTTCAGTAGGATATACTTGCTTGCATCAGGACAAAATGGAATTAACTCCACTAGCTAAGCCGAACAGCACAATATCAAACTGGCTAAAGCTGGGAATGATAAAATAACAAACAGTAACGTAACAGCAAAGCAGGTCCTATACCTATTTTCCATGTTTAGTAGTAAGGGATAGTGTTAAATGCTCTGAAAATCCGAACAAATCAATATAGCGAACAGCATCACATTCTACTCTGCTCCTGGACTTGGGTACGCAACTTGGCTGTTCTGACCTCACGTCAGGATGAGACCTGGATGCGCGCTGTTCCTCCCCATCCACCCCATCCACCCCGGTTCCCTCCGAAGGAGCGCAGGCTGGCGGGAGGGAGGGAGCCCAGGGGAACCCGATGCTTCTCCCACCACAGGCAGCCTGGAAGCAGGAGTGCAGGGCTCCCCGCAGAGTGCTCCTGCCCCACAACTCACAGGTAGAATTGCACCGGAGGCTTAAGCACTCAGGTTACATCAGAGGGTGGCAATCACAGCTTTATAAATGTTCTTGAAACTTTCCGGTATTACCCTGAATCCAGAAAGGTAGGAATGCTAACCTTTGTGCCCTGTAAATGTATTTTGAGTTTCCAGTGAGCCTATACAGCAGCAGGAACACATAAGCACTACCAGCCACTCCATGGCATATTCCAGGTCCCTTCTTCAACAGGCCTTTCTGCCAAGTTAGCTCTCCACAGCGGATACAAGTGTCCAGATATTGAGGCTTCTTGGAAACCAGGTAAGCTTTGGCAAACAGATATGCAATGCCTGGGAAAACAGCAGTGAGATTGTGTTTTGTAATAAGTAGACCGAGGGAACACATGAGAAAATAAAGATTAATACACTAAAAAACTGCAGTCTCACACTCTACACATGTCAGTGTTACATATCTATATGCTACATAAGGAGGCAAGAGTATCTGGTATGCTAAAAAGCATACAGAAAGATGTACTTATCCACTCCCTGTGATGACACCATTTTCAATGTTTTCAATGCATTACTGAATTTCAGGTTTACTCTAACATTCCCAGTCTTTCACCAATTTAAAACAGTAGTCACATTTTTGCCTTTAGAACAGCAAACTCTTAGCATCGTCTTCTATTGGTTTCAAATCCCCATTCACCTCACCTATTTACACTGACAAAAACACAAGGATGGGCAAGATAATTTCTTACATTGGCAGTAGATACAATTTTTTACTGAATGAGAAAAAGAGGCTTGCTTTTTTTTTTTTTTTTTAAGTGGCGCCCATGCAGCTTTATTCTAGTTACAAACAGTTATGCATACTAACTTCTGTTAAAAAAAAAGCAGCTATTTGGCTTGTTTTTAGAGGGGATTCAAATAAATTAATCATAATCTTCAACAAAGCACTGCACAGCTCAGTTCATGGTAACCTTAAAAGAATGCATATGACACATAATCAAATCGAGAGCCTAAGGAAATGTTTAGAATAGCTCACTTGTGGTCTGAATATACACTGAAGTAGCTGAAGTGTGTTCTTGTAAACTACATGTGCGTTATTACCCAAGAACCGTGATGGCATACGGGATTTTCTGGGGAAGAGTAACAGCAAATAATGAATTTACATGTCTCTAAATCTCTCCTAATGTAACTTCTTTATGCCCTTTGGGATTTTGTCACTTTGGTCGAGTCTCACTGCGTATGTCTCTACTAACAGCTAAACCCAAGTCAAAGGCCACCCTCAAGATACTGAAAGATACAGGGCATCTTCCCTGCAGGCTTCATCACTAGGCCAGCCATGCTGTAGAAGTATTTTTTCCCTCGTAAAAATAAAAAAGGTTGGTAAGCAAAAGCTGTTTTCACTTCAGTCCATTACAGTGCAAGAGCAAGAAGCTTGTTCCTTAATCATACCAACAAAAAGATAATGCATCAGCAGAAAGCACACTTAAGGGATATTAATTATAATGTACTCTTTGTAATTAAATAGAACACCTTTAAAAGCAATGCATCAATGCTCATGGACATTCTTTAATAAAAGTAAGTTCTTCTGTAACCTTTAGGTTCATGCTACCAAGCCAATATGACTAGTTAGCAATAAATTTCTGCCTGGGGGTAAAAAACCAATTTCAATATTGTACTGGTTTTGGCTGGGATAGAGTTATTTTCTTCATAGTAGCTATTATAAGGCTATGTTTTGCATTGTGCTGAAAACACAGCACAATTGTGTTGATAATACACGGATGTTTTTGTTATTGCTGAGCAGTGCTTACACAGAGCCAAGGCCTTTTCTGCTTCTCACCCCACCCCACCAGCGAGCAGGCTGGGGGTGCACAAGAAGCTGGGAGGGGACACAGCCAGGACAGCTGACCCCAACTGACCAAAGGGGTATCCCATACCATATGACATCATGCTCAGAGTATCAAGCTGGGGAAAGAAAAAGGAAGGGGGGGGATGTTCGGAGTGATGGCATTTGTCTTCCCATGTAACCATTATGCATGATGGAGCCCTGCTCTCCTGGAGATGGCTGAACACCTGCCTGCCAATGGAAGTAGTGAATGAATTCCTTGTTTTGCTTTGTTTGCGTGCACAGCTTTTGCTTTACCTATTAAACTGTCTTTGTCTCAACCCATGACTTTTCTTGCTTTTACTGTTCCGATTCTCTCCCCCATCCCACTGTGGGGGAGTGAGCAAGTGGCTGTGTGGGGCTTAGTTGCTGGCTGGGGTTAAACCACGACAGTCCTTGTTGGCACCCAACGTGGGGCTTGAAGGGTTTAAGATAACAACAGATTTGATTGGCATATGCAAGATCGAATTTATAGCTGTTATTGCTGTTTAGCTTTCAGTTGGCAGGCTCCTGTGCTTGCCATGGAGCTTGCTTGCCTTACTGTATATTGGAGTCTAGTGCTTGTTAGTGGCTGCTTGCTGTACTGCTTATCTTCTTACTCTGTTGTGTCTGGAAACATTTTGATAACCACAGTGGCCATGTGCCTAGGCTGGCAGATGGCCATGGCATTACTGCTGTTTCTGTGGTGTTGTACTGGACAGGCTGGAACTCCAGTGTGAACTCGAGTCGAAGGGACTGTGACCTGTGGATGAGTCCACTGGGAGTAGGACACCCCAAAGGGTCTGTGGCCATGGATAAGCCCATGCCAGAGCAGGTACATCTCGAAGCGTCTGTGGCCATGGTTATGTCTGTGCCTCAGCAGGTATACCTCTGAAGGTATTGTGGTCCAAGGATATGTCCACGCTGGAGAAGGTGCACCTCAAAGCATCTGTGGCTGTGGGTAAGCCCATGCTGCAGCAGGTACACCTTGAAGCATCAGTGGCTGTGCATGAGGTCATGCTGGAGCACCTCAAAGCGTGTGGCCATGGATAAGTCCACAACAGAGCAGGTACGCCCCTGGAGGGACTGCGGCCATGGGTAAGGCCATGTTGGAGCAGGTTTACTCCTGAAGGGACTGTGGCTGTGGTTAAGGCCACGCTGGAGCAGGTATAGCTCTGAAGGCATTGTGGCCCATGGAGAAGGCCACACTGGAACAGGTGCACCTCAAAGCAACTGTGGCTGTGGATAAGTCTATGCTGCAGCAGGTATAGCCCTGGAGAGACTGTGGCTCATGGATAAGGCTCCACTTGGAGCACGTACATCCCTAAGGGTATGTCTGTGGGTAAGTCCAAGCCAGAGCAGGGGCAAGGGGAGGAGTTCACTGCAATGTTAAATGCTATAACCTGGCCCAAAGGGACCACGGGTGGAGACTGTAATGGATATACCTTTAAATTGTTGTAACCCATGATTTGAGTTGCATGTTACAGGAATTACTATAGCAGGAAGCCTTACAATAAGCAGTGCAAGTGCAGCAGTGACCTGACCTGAGCAGGCTTTGGTGCCCAGTAACTCCAAGCAACATACTCTCTCTCCTGTCCTGAGTGACCACCATAACAAATGGAACCCAAAGTCATGGACTAAATGAACTCAGTGGACATTTTGTGGACATTCGCAGACATCTTATGGGCATTTTATGGACATTTTACAGGGGTGGTCCATAGACTAAGGGAATGATATCTGGGTATTGTATCAAAGGATGGGAAGGGGGGTGGTGGTTATATAAGATTGTACTGGATAGTGTGGTACATGAGCATGACATAAATGGTATGGAATAAGGGGTGGAGAATGTACTGGTTTTGGCTGGGGTGGAGTTAGTTTTCTTCAGAGTAGCTAGTATGGGGCTATGTTATGGATTTGTGCTGAAAACAGTGTTGATAATACAGGGATGTTTTTGTTATTGCTGAGCAGTGCTTACACACAGTCAAGGCCTTTTCTGCTTCTCACCCCACCCCACCAGCGAGCAGGCTGGGGGTGCACAAGAAGCTGGGAGGGGACACAGCCAGGACAGCTGACCCCAACTGACCAAAGGGATATCCCATACCATATGACATCATGCTCAGCCTATAAAGCTGGGGGAAGAAAGAGGAAGGGGGGGACCTTCGGAGTGATGGCATTTGTCTTCCCAAGTAACCATTACACATGATGGAGCCCTGCTTTCCTGGAGATGGCTGAACACCTGCCTGCCGATGGGAAGCAGTGAATGAATTCCTTGTTTTGCTTTGTTTGCGTGCACAGCTTTTGCTTTACTTATTAAACTGTCTTTATCTCAACCCATGAGTTTTCTTGCTTTTACTCTTCTGATTCTCTCCTTTTACTGCTGGGGGGGAGTGAGCAAGTGGCTGTGTGGGGCTTAGTTACTGGCTGGGGTTAAACCACAACAAATACACAGCATTACTTGCCAAAATTGCTAATGTATAGGATTAGATTCTGAACTGACAGACATCAGCCTTCCCTCATGAACCCAAACTAAGGATTGATTTTCTTCCTCTCTGAAAAGCAGTTTTATATGGGGTACTTTCAGAAAAAATGCCCCTTGCTAGTACAAACTCCCCTTCACATGAAAATACTTTGGTCAAATTTATGCATTATTCATGTAATAAGTGCAGCTTAAACTTTGATTCTGATAAGGGGGGAAAAAAGCTATTTTGAAGGCCTTCCCAAAACTCACAGATGTGTCTGCATCTTTGTTCTTTTGTACACTATTTCTCTGTCCAGCCATATGCTGTCTTTTGACTCAGCTGTACCATTTTTTGAGGTCTTGTCAGGAAAGGGAGCAAGAGTGGAAAACATACAGTTCAGGATCACCAGAATTCTTTCAGCTGTGATCACCTCTGCTTTTAAGGCGGAAAATATGGCTATCCTTCCAGCTGCTTCAGCAATAAATATAACACTCTTAACTGGAAGAAAAAGCCTAAATAGTTTTGTTTGCATCTCATAAAATGTCAAACTCGGTCAAATTTAACCTGAGATTATCTTCTACATGGCATCACCTAACGTGGAAAAGCAATGTGATCAGCATCTGGGTATTCATAGCATCAATGGGAAAAGAACCTGGAGCTCCATGACACCAGTGTACAAGCTCATTCTCCCGCTCGATTGTCTCTCCCAGCTCAGGAGGCCAGTTGCTGTTCTGTTCTTGGTCCATAAGAAAATCAACGCTCTGCCACACAAGCTCCTGATCTGCTGGCTGCAGGTACTCATAATAGGAAAGCAACATCTGAAGGATTGATGAAAGCCCATGAGCTGCACCTGTAAAGAACAGAAACAGTCAAATTAGAGGGTAGGTTTAGGTCCTACCTCCATCTCATGGCAACTTTCCCTTGGGACTGATTTCCTTGTCAAGTGCCTGGCTGCTTCTTTATGCATATTACAATAGTGATTGGAATAAAAGCTTTCTAGGTGCATGACACTATGATTTGTTACTACTTCTGTCATTTCCAGTTCCTTTAGCTATGCAAAAATACATTTGAATTTTTTCTGCTCTCACTCTGATATGACTGAAACTCAGTGTACGAAGTTAAACTGAACCTAAACTGAATACTGTTTCAAGACGTTATTCTGTTTGACACACTACCGAATCTGGACCATTATTCTGAAGTCTTTGTTGAAGCCAAATTGAAACTGGACCATAAATGGTATTCTCAGTTACTGATTGACAGTGTCAATCAGGTAAAACCTGAATTTCAGTGCAAGAATTGTCTGTACCTGCCAGGGTCTGTGGAGCAGCACCACTCAGTGACTTCTCCCTCTGCTCCCCTGCCAGAGAACTCACTAACATCTGCAAACCAATCTCACACTTTCTGCAGTGTGATATTGTGCCTTGAGGACTGCACTAGGGACCTGCTCAATGACCTTTCACCACTGCTTCAGATGAGCTCAAACTAAGCCGCTTGCGATGGGTAGGAGCTGACCATACACTTGAGTTGCACTGCTATGGCCAAAAAAAGCTCTGCGAGTCCCTGCATGGCAACAGCAGCTAACAAATAACATCTCCTGACGGTTCTCTCTGGTAATCTTCTCCACACAGGCATGGGCACCACGCTTCTCACTGCTTCCATCTGGCAAAGGCAGATTTACCAGGACAGGAAGGAGAAGAGGGAATGAAGCTGCTGCCTGCTGCTCCCCTGGTGCAGCACAGGCACCACTTGCCTTCCCCAGCACTAGGCAGCATCGGTCCTTCCCTCCAGCTCCTCAGTCCCACTTAGCAGTTTTAGGAGGTTGGATGGTCCCAACTCAGTGAGGAGAAATCCCACACTGTAGCTTTATATATTTCATTTCTGAAACGTCTACTGGCTCAGCATCTACACACAGCATCACTTTCAAAGTAGTTGGTGTGTTTTACTCACCAAGATACTCTGTTCCATAGTAGGAATACATGAGTGGGAACGGTTTCCTCTTCTTCACTGCATACTGCTTTCCTGATTCTAGTATGGCCAGACAAATTGATTTTATTTGTGCTGAGGTCAGCACCTAAACAGAAACATGAAAACAAACATCAAGTCTATTATAATAATTTTCTTTTGTAGACATTTTTCAGGACTCTGCTTTTTTGCTGGTGCACTAGACAAAGTACTGCCTTTAATCTTATAAGCATGCCATAATGTACACCCTTACTAAAAGTTCCTTACATAAAACAGTAAATTTACATAATGTTTCTCAAAAACAGAGTTTCATCCCATCTTAGGAAAGTGATTGTCAAATCTTTAGCTGCACAGATGAGGTGAAAGGAGGCTCACTAAGAGCTCCTGCCTTTCCTTCCCACAGATCCATCAGTCTGATGAAAGCTGACGACAAGCACCAGGCAAGCTGCAGAACAACAGCCTCCAGACTGGAGGAAGAGACATTAGGAGAAGGCAAAGAAAAATAGACCTATAGAAGAAGTAAATGTCACAGGCTTTACTGGGACATACTGAGCTAGACAGATTTTTCTCAGTCCATACAAAAAAGAGGAAGCATGGAAGAGGTTACTAAATTTTACTGAAAATCAATACTACATATGTGGGTTCAGAAACATCTTAGTAAAAGAATTAGGCCTTCTTACTTCACGAATATGCTAAGAAAAATGAAGTGCAAGGCAGGTTTCTATGAAGAGAGCCTAGCTATGTTTATGGAACTTTATCATCATGAACAGGTCAACGTTGCCTTTAATGCAGTCCTAAGAAATGACTAATGCCTTACTCTTAGTGGCGTCAAAAGCAAAGATTGACAAATTATATATTTCACCAGATACGAACTTTTCCAAGTTACTCACCTAAAGCATTCAGTAAGGAATCAGTTTTACAGGTTTTAACTACAGCTCTAATGATATGCCATTCACTGCAACCATCAGCAATTTCCTCTGTGTCAGCCACATCTGTACATTACTGACCAATACCTAGGTCATTAAAATAATTCAGTTGAAGTACTGTTTTGGCTTTAGGGGAGGGGAAAGCCTGTATGGCAGCTGTACTTTGCAAAAAAATATTTAAACTTATGAAAAGAGAACTGAGAAAGAAAAAAGGCAAAATGAGGCAGAAAAAAGAAAAAGGCTGTAGAAATAGCCTTGACAAGATAAGTAGTAATCCCAAAACTAACTGGAATATCAAGATAATGTCTTTAAAATGTTTCTGAACACATTTGCTTTTGCTATAATTTGTATTATCATAGGATTTACAGTTACTACTTCAAGTTTAAAAAATACTGTTAGCATTAAGTATGGAGACAACATCTGTTATCAACTGTATTCTCTCATTTGACATGTAAAAGATGCTCTGGATAATTAACGTCACTTAGAACTTGACTGAAAACTAATGGCTTAAAAATCTTGTTTGTCTATCTTAGCTTGCTCCCTGATAACAAGGCATTTTATTACAGCTGCTCGAAATGGCTATATTTGTACAACCTGGAGAACAACCTACTTCTGATCTTGATTAGTGTTCTTTAATGTTACTGCAGCAGAACTAAATAAGCCATTAACATCTGGAGAATTCACTCATTTCCAGTCATTTTTAAGTGAATTGTTTTAGCTTCACTGAATTTAAAGAAACAGCTTAAATCCTAAGCAAACAAGGAGATCAGAGACACGGTGAGACACACTGCATCCTCTCCAGAGCTCTCATGTTACTGTCTTGCAGTTTGGGACATAGTCCTCCAAATTCTATACCTTGTAAAATGATTAGTAAGGTAACCCTTTAAAAATAAACGTGAAGGAGAAGATCTCCTAGTCGTAATTCTGGAAGGCAAAGGCACGCTGATTAGAAAAATCATAATCAGTTCATTTTCCGTATGTAATGGTTCCTTTACATAATAAATCAACTGGCTTTCAATACAAACCATGTTTTGCTAAGCATATTTTTATGTTCAGTGCATTTAATTTTTAAATTGAATTAATAACTATTTTAAAATGCTGATTGTGTATTTTAAATGGATTTAGACTTCTACCCAAATCCAGCCTTGCACAACGCTGTATAAAGAAGTATCAGATAGCAAGAAATGCACTGTTGACCATTTTTTGATATAAAGTAGTGTAAAAAGTCAAACACTTAAGCACTATGATTACTTAAGGGTATAGATAGTATATGCTAATGAATATCATGTCTTTTTCAGAAAGCAAAAAAAGCCCACATGCAAAGCCAGATGAAAAATTATTTTTTAAAATCATTATTAGAATGGATGATAGAAATTGACCCATCCTGACCCACTTCCATATTACCAAAGAAAATGGAAAAGAAGATAACCTGTCTATCTTGAAAGCACCCTTCTCTCCGGCCACTCGGACTGACCTGTACACTTAAGGCAGGTAGGAGATGTGTCCTAAATAAATAAGAAAATTTTTGCGCTGACTCCAAATATCTCTTACCAAGTACCTCAATCTGCAGTCATTGTAGGGCTGCTGCCTGTTTTCCAAAACACTTAAATATGAAGGATATTATTCTGATCCTTATTCTAGGAAATGGTTGGCTGGAAGAGAGACCCTCACTTACCATGATTATTAGTGGCCTTCCAAAGGTGGAATGACCAGAGATCACATTTAAGATCTCGGTTGGCTTGCTACATTTTATTTCAACCAAATCTGTGTTAAAACCTCCTTAGATTTCTTTCACCTTGCCAAGAAATAAAATCTGTGGTTACTCTCTGTATGCTCCATCACAATATCTTTAATCAAACAGCTAAAAACTTATGACCAAAACAACAATCATAGAATACATTAATCATAATCACAGATGGTGTAGCCATGGTTCTACAAAGTTCATTTTCATTTCAGTGTAGTCGCAATACCTCCTTGCCCCTGGGAATTACTGAAGCAATATGTTTAATTAGGGATGGCAAAGAAATGGACTGATCATCCCAAAGGCTTTGAAAGGATAAATTGCATATTGGTATCACGTCCTCTGGTGAAAGCTGTCAGATGCTTTGATGAAGAATAAAGTCAATATGAGAATATGCTACCCAGAAAAAAATTTCATGCTTGAGATAGCTACATTTTTAGAGAAACTTCTTGAATGTCATTTAATATGAGCAGGCTACACAGTAGGTAAAATTATGCTTTATCCTGTCAGTACTTAGCCAAAAGACTACTGACACTAAGAGACATATCGATGGTGGTTTAATATTTCAGCTAACTCTTTTTGTATTTTTAAAGACACCACAACCTATCCTATCACATCAGAAGTGTTCATTTTAGTCTCCTCACTAGACTGAAATTTGGAATATGTGCATTCCACATTTCTCCTGCAATTTCCGTACCAATTGGTTGGTGGAGTTCTTTATTTTCTATTTTAAATCACTGTCCAGTGATGCTGTGTGCTGTTAAATAACTGTTCCACTCACACTGATGACATCTGCATTCCCATGTACCTTCTACTTTAAGCACAGTGCTTAAGCAGCACTATAATACTTAGTATTTGTACTACTGCCTGTGCCTAGGAACCCGACTTATAGTAAAAAAAGCCACTGTGATTGTTTCTTAAGTCTCTCAATTTTTCTCTTGTGCCACTGTAGACAATATGCTTCCTCCCATTAAGGCACTCCACAAATTTGTGAATTATTTAAGGCAGGTACTTTATTCAGTAAATCCCTGTTAAAAGTCAGCAAGGAAGTGCTATGACTACAGCGATCACAGAACATCGTCCTTTGTTGTTGTTAGCAGCCGTTCTCAACCCAAGATTGTTCAGTTGTAAGTAAATTGTTTCACAACTCCTTTTAATCTACTAAGACAGATTTCCTAATATATTGGTTATGACAATGCTAGGCCCTACATATGTGTTTCAAAAACTGTAGACAGAAATCTTGACCTTGAGGATTAGGCAGAAAGAAGCAGGACATCATTCCTCTGAATGCTTGCTACAAGCCCCTTGGCTCATGATTTGCCTTCTGAAAACCATTGCTACATAAAACTCCATACTGTATTGAGTATGTTTGAGGACTGTAAAGCTGTAATCTTTTAAAAGATCTGTATTTACTTTCTTAGAGCTCCTTCCTGTATGTAAGTAACAGAAGGCATTACTGAATGCCAAATATCATTATCTTCCTATAGATGCATCAGTACTTTTAGGAGGTAACAGCTACACTCACATTATTGTGGAAAAAGCCTTCTTCTATGCATATAAAAATTTTTAATATGCATCTAACACGTCAAACCTCTCTCTGTCACACTTCTAAAAAGCCATTTACATGAATTTGATCATACACTTTTTCTGATGCTGTAGAAAGTGTCGAAAATATCTGAAAAAAAAAAAAAAAGTCAGTCCACAAATAACCTAACAGGTTTGCCATTAGACTGCTATGCTGGAAGCCCAGCAGAGGGAGCTTGTGAATTAGTTACAATTCCCCAAAATGCTGTAAAGAAAAGATATGCATGTCTGTGTTCAGGACAGCTGACTCAAGCAGAAAGATGCTGGAGCCAACTTGGTAATTTAATGATACCTTCCTGCACTGCGTGATGTTTAAGTTTCCTCCTTAAGCTTGATCTTTTTCTACCAAAGACAGGGGCTGGGATTGTTCAGGGACCTTTCTGTGCAATGTCATGGACAGTTTTGGTTTTTTTTTAATTTCAGATGATGCTAACACCTGAAGCCGTGGAAAAGTAGCAGGTACAAAGACAGAGAGCTCTGCCTCCCCCTAGTGTTATTCCAGTTCGATTGATGTACTTCTGCGGGACAGTGGGAAACCCAGCTCCAAGTGCACAGCTGTCTGCTTTCCTTATGAGCAGTGTCAAGTACCCCCTTCTTTAAAAAAAAAAAAAAAAAAATTAGTTCTAGGAATTGGATTAGTTCCCGAAGTACTACTGATACTGTTGCTAATACAGCATGTTTCATGCTGTAACAGCACCACGAATAGTACTTTCTAGAGAGCACACTTTCTCAAATATCTCATATTAACACAACTACATGACAGGGTGTGTAGACTCAGCACAACTACTAATATGATTGTGTCAGTTCATTGGAAAATGCTACTTGACTGCAATCTTGAGTAAAACAGACCACTATGGA